ATACGGCTACTGGATAAAGTTGTAAAATTTAAAAATAAATCTGCTAATGGAGAAGAACTGAAAATATAAAATAAAATACAGCTACTGGATACGATTAAAACAATGAAAAAAATGCAGCTTTTGGAGACAGTTGTAAAATTAAAAATAAAATACGGCTACTGGAGGCAGCTTGAAAATATAAAAATATAATACCTCTATAGGAGACGGTTGTAAAATTAAAAATAAAATAGAGCTACTGCATGTACACCGTTAGAAAAAAGAAAAAAAAATGCAGCTACTGGAGCCGGTTGGAAAAAAAAAAAGTAAAATACAGCCTGTGAAGAGGGTTGGAAAGTAGAAAAAAAGAAAAGCCAATTGTCTACAGGACGTTGTACCTTTCTTTCATTTTGCACAATATTGACAAGCCTGATTTTTTAACCGGTTAATTTTGAGTGACCATATCTCAGACGTCTCTCAACATAGAAGAAATATTAATGTGTCAGATGATGCAGAATCTATTTTTAGAAAAATCTATCTTTAAATTGCCATGCTGCATGAGTGGGTAGTGCAAGCAAGGCTATAGCACGATGGTTGGCTGATTACATTTTCAAGTTTCTTTTGGACTGACGCCACTGTATCTAGATTTTAGTATTTTTAGTCCTAATATTTTTTAGTTACAATAATTTATTTTTGTTGTCATTTTGGAGAAATAAGTTCAAGTTTATTTTCCCGAACGTTCGGAGAAATAGAGCCAGCCTACATTTAATTCATCAAGTGATAAGAGCAAAAAAAAAACAACCAAAAAAAGTGTCATCATTATAGAAACCGAAATGCGTAATTCTCAGGGCCCAAAAGGGCTCCATCCTCAAAATTGAAAATCACAAAGGAAAGGGTCTCAAAAAGTCTCAACAATATCACAGAAAACGACCAGTTTCAGTTGGTGAATGTCAGTGGAACTGTCAGAAGCGAGTGAGTGAGCTGTGTGACTGAGTTGCCTTATGTTCTAGTCTTCATCATATAATTCTCCATGACTGTCACATACATTGTGTTTGTGTTGAAAAACTTGGGCTGGAAACAATAGCGTTATCTGATTAAATTGTAATGGTGCTGTACAGAGAGAGTGCACGTGAGGAGGAGTGCGCGTGTGGAAGTGAGGGGGGGGGGGAACTGTAAATATGTGTGAGAGTGAGGAAAGTGAGGAAAAGTGGAAATGTGGGAGTGAGGGAGGAAGTGAGGAAGTGAGGGAGAGAATATATTTTAGTTTTAGTAGAGGTTTTACGGCGCTCGTAACTGCATAAAGTCATATGAGCGCCAGAAGATTAGAGGTGTTACAAGAGAGTAACAAACATAAAAAAGAACAAGTGGAGATAAGGACGATAGATGTTTGATAGGAAAGAAGAAGCAAACTGCAAACCACACCAGAGCACCCGCCAACCACCCACGGAGTGAGTATATGAAAAGCCTGCGTGGTGGTACAGAGATAGAGAACATGACAGAACTCTAAATACAACAGTTATAATGATAACCCACCCTCACTGCCACCTGTCTAAGACAACAACCCTTACAAACCACCACTTCCCACTTCCCCTCTTGTGTTTTTCCTCACAATGATCCTGTCCACAACCCCCACCTGTCTAAGACAACCACTTTTCTCTTAGAAGACATTGAGTGGTAGTCTTGAAATTCTTCTTCTTCTTCTTCTTCCTTGTTCTCGATGACAGCAGCTAGACAGTCAGTCCGATGTCGCGCACAAACTGTGCAGTCCGCTTCAACTCTGAGAGACTGCCATATCATAGAACTTTCTCTCAAGGGGAGTCACATTCTGGCTGTCTTGAACAATTTCAGCTGTCATCATGGTGTCCTCAGCATCTCTCAGTTTTGGTCAAAGATTCTCTCATCTGACATCTAGCGAGTTCTGATCATTTGGGCTATAGATCTATATAATATATACATGTACATACACACATCTGTGCATAAGTTCCACCATTCTTTCACAATGAGTACTTGAGAGGGTAAATCAGAGACTGAGCCAGGGCAAAAAAAAAGCATCAAGTTCATCTGGGCACATCACTCTCAGATGCTCATTATTTGGTTGCTTTTAAGGACAAGCGGGCTAACCCAGATTTCAGGAACTCCTGAAATCTTGACCTACACCAAAAGATGGCATTGCCATATATCTATAGGAGAAGTTTGGTTTCACTGGTGTGTATATTTGTTTTGTCATAATCATAAAGAAAACACTCCTTGTCTTTTAAAGAAACTGAAAAAGGGGTAAAAACTTTTAACTTCGATTTTCTCTAAACAGCATTTTTCGGGATAGCCCCCTTGAGCTTAAAAGCGACCAAATATCACAAGCTACTCCATTAGTTACGCGAGGTGATTCCTCAGGGATTCGATCAACACGATATCTTCTGTCCTTGAATGTGTGGCTCACTGTACCCCCCCCTGAATCTACCCATGTATGTCTATGTCAGTTTTAGTTGAAGTAAAAGTTTTACAGCACTAGCAACAAAATAGGTCATGTAAAAGCCAAAGATTAGAGGTGTCACAAGAGAGTAACAAACACAAAAAAGAAGGAGGAGAAATAAAGACGACAGATGTTTGGTAGGAAAAAAGGAGCAAACCACACCACAGCACCCGCCAACCACCCAGGTGTATATCAATCTGTCTGGAGCATCTTTACTATGGAAAATCACAAGACCAACCACAAAATGATTCCAAAACAAACAAACAAAACATGTGCTGTCTGGAAATCAGTCTTTAATCAGTCACAGCTCAGCAAAACAACAAGAAACTTGTTTATAAAGACAACAATGTTCAAAAACTTTACAATTATTCCTTCTCATGGAATTGTTAAGTTCACGAACTGTTCAGGGAACTATTGGAACACAATCAACATCATGTTTTGATATTGTTGAGCCTCGGTAATATACAAGATGTAATCTCAATTTCAGGGAGTATAATTCTGAAGTTGTCACCAAAACAAGAGATAATGAAAGAACAAAGTAATTGGAGGTGTGTACACCACAAGCTCAGGCCCTAAATATCTCTTCTTAAATGAATTCATCTTGGGATTTAGCCCCAAATTGTTGACTTTACGCAAGCCTAACACTCAAGCGGTTGACTGTATCAGAAACACAATTAGATCTACTTAAAAATACTTAAACAAAGAAGGTAAAAAACGGGACCACAGTGAGGTGTTGACAGTAAGCAAGAGTTGACTTTAAGCAAGTTGACTGTCAGGATTCCACAGTATCTGTTATTAGTACATGTACAATATAACTGATCATTAGTACATGTACAATATAACTGATCATTAGTACATGTACAATATAACTGATCATTACGCTGAAAACAAAAAGTGAAATTAGTTATCATCAACAAAGGCAGTGTTCATCATTACGTCAAAAATATTTTTCCCCCTCACAAAAGTGTAATATTACATTAGTTCAAGACCCCCCCCCCCCCCTTTCTTACACTTTTCTTACAGGAGCCAAAGACCTCCCCCCCCCCTCCCAGGCGTAAGATTATATTTGAACGGCCCCTTAAGGTTTTATCATGAAGCCTGGCAATCCTCAGAAGGAAACATCCTTTTTAAGTCCCTTTTATGACAACAAGGCATTGTACATTAAGTAGTTGCTTTGAAATTCAAAAGCACCTCCCTCTTTCTTCAATCATTAATTCCTTGATACAGAGGTTACTCTTTCACTGTAAGTCTTAGATATAATGCGTCACGACACGGTGGAATCAGGCGCTCGTCAAATTTTGGGCATAAGGAGTCATTGGTATTATGTGAAAGCTGATTTATTTGCCTCACTTCCAATGAATACCCATTTATCTTGAAAAGAACGCAAGACATTTGCGATTGAAAGAAGTGAGTTCGCCTGGTTCCAGTGGTGAAATTAGAGAGTATATGGCCGCCAAAGTTTGGTAACTCCAATAGCTAAAGAGTCTGAAAACTGAAAAATGACATGTTTTGTGCATTTAATCAATGTTTTTCAGTAAAATTCACATGGAAATGTGTTTTAAATGGACATTAAAAAAGTTAAGCCAAAAAAAAAGAATTCGATCAAAATTTTCTCACCGACTGAAAAATGCCTGTTTCTCCAATTTCGTTATTTTGACAAGCACCTAATTTCACCACGCTGCCTCACCATATACTAAAGCACTTTTTCAATCATTCTACTCATTCTCCAGACATCCCAAAGTCAGTACCAGACTACACCGCCTTCACCTTGAGTGTGGTGAGCTTGTTCTTGAGGAAAGTAAACAGTTGGTGCATCAGCTCGCGAGAGTCACCCTCCAACCACTCCAATTCCATCTGCACCTGCTCGTCGGCTCGCTTCAGACGCATCACGCACTTGAGGATGAACTCCTTGGGGGAGGTATCCACGAGAGACGAGGACGACGCTGTCACCTCAGAGTTCTCCCCCTGGCTGCTCTCACCGCAGTCACCGTCCGCTGGGTTCGAATCTTTCTCAGCTTCAGGAATACTTCCCCCCTGCGGCGGGACCTGACCTTCACCTGACTCGGAACATGATGTTTGGTCGCCCTCACCACGCCCGCTTGACTCGGAGCTCTTTTTGTCTGGTTCACCAGCGTCAGGACGTGATCCGTTTTCCTGAGACGTTTCGTCCCCACCATCCACTCCATAATTTTTGTTGTGGCTCGAGCCTGTGTCATCATCACGTCTGATTCTCTTGCCCGATCCTGTTTTTTCAGAAACCTGGTAATTTTCTAGGGGCCTCTTCTTCCCTTGCGTAGATGTCACCACATGTTCGTTGTTCCCCAGGTCCGATGATGTCATCACCAACTTTCCTTCCTCAGACTCGCTCTCTGTCCTGTCGCCGGACACGCCAGCTCCGCCACTAGTATGACGACCCACATCCTGCCGCCCCGACCGAGAGGAATCCTTCACTGGAGATGTCCCGTCCGACCCACCGCCGGCGTCGTCCCGACACTGTTTCTGCAGGCGTTGTTGCTGTCTCCTCAGGCGCCGCTGGTGACACCACGTGTTCTCGCCGGCCGTCAGCGTGAGGCTGCTGTACGACTTGGCTTGCTTCCCTTGGAACACGTGGATCTGAGCACAAGGAAAAAGTTGGTTGCTTTTTTTTCAAGTTATAGTAAGAGTTAGTTTAGTTTTAGTAGAGGTTTTACAGCGCTCGCAACTGCATAGGGTCATATGAGCGGCAGGAGATTAGATGTGTTACAAGAGAGTAACAAACAAAAAAAAGAACAAGGGGAGATAAGGACGATAGATGTTTGATGAGAAAGAAGGAGCAAACCACACCAGAGCACCCGCCAACCACCCACTTAGTAAGAGTATTACAGCATTTGAAGCACAATGAGGTCATATGTTATGTGTGCCAAAGACTAGAAGTGTTACAAGAAAGTAACAAACACCCCAAAAAAAGGACAATTGATATCTAATAGGAAAGAGAGAGCAAACCACATAAGAGCACCCACCAACCACCCACAAAAAAAAAGGAATGTGTCAAAATTGTAAAACAGAAAACACCCCATTAAAAAATGTTCTAATCAAATCAATATTTTTACATCTAGAATGTCTAAACTTTAACTACAAACCAGAAATATAGTTCACCAATTGAACTTTTATCAGAACAGCTTGCCCTAGCCTGAGCCAGAGAGCTGCTTTGACAGCAGAAAGGTCATCTTTATGTATAGTTTTAGTTTTAGTAAGAGCTTCACAGCACTTGCAACACAATAAGGTCATATAAGTGACGAAGATTAGGGTAACAACCACGAAAAAGAAGGAGGGGAGATAAAGATGATAGATATTTGATAGGAAAGAAGAAAACCACACCAGAGCACCCGCCAACCACCCTCGTCATCTTTACAACACCAGTAACCTTGAACTACTCTTCAACAATGACAAAAACTGAATATTACAAACTCTGATCAGTTCAGGTGTAGACAGTTTCATTTTACAAATCTAGAAATCTGCTTTAGTTTTAGTTTTAGTAAGGTTTTACGGCGCTCGCAACTGCATAAAATGATATGAGCGCCAAGGGGTGGATGTCAACAGAGAAATCCAAATGGGGAATCAGGCTTACTCTGCTCACCTCTCTAGCCTCAACAGCGCAAAGTCTGTCAGTTCAGCTGTAAACAGTTTCATTTTACAAATCTAGAAATTTACAAACACCCTGAGCATCTACACTGCCGACACGACAAACACACGCACAGCGCTTACCTTAATGGATTGTAACAGCTCTTTCAGGAAGCTGGCGACCGCGTGGACTTCATAACTGACCGACCCAGCGCCTTTGGGAACGGTGAAGTGTAGCGGAGGTTTCTCCTTCCTGGCTTCAAACGGGGAGCGCTGTCAAATACAAAACCAAAACGACCAAAGTTTTACTCAATGTCCAAAGTCTTTTGCAAGCTCTGACTTAGTCATGAGAACAAAAAGTATCAACCTTAGTAATAGTTGTAGGTGACCAAGCTACAGATAAACGTTCCCATGAAGAAAAAATAACATGATCACATTGATTTACCATAGTCTGTTTGTTTGTTTTAGTAGAGGTTTTTCGGCGCTCGCAACTGCGTAAGGTCATATGAGCGCCAGAAGATTAAAGGTGTTACAAGCTAGTACCGTAACAAACATAAAAAAGAAGGAGGGTAGATAAGGATGATAGGTGTTTGATAGGAAAGAAGGAGCAGACCACACCAGAGCACCCGCCAACCACCTGCTTACCATAGTCTACCACGCACAAAGAGAACATGCAGAGCAGCACATGCACACAGATTTTCAGGTCTAGAATTTTCCGTACACACTTACATTCTTTGTATGTAACACATGTATGCTGCGAAATTTGTACATTAGGAAAACATTTCTGCATTCTACAGATTTCACTTCAAGAGAGTTAAGACTTTAGTTAGTTACTGCAAAACTTAAAACATCAAACCAGTAGAAGTCTAGATTTTTTATGCCCAAAGTGCAAGATTTTCCCATGCGAGACAAGCATGATCACAACCTTAAATAAATTTAAAGACAGTGATTCACCACTCAGACTTTTTACTAATGTCAAGTCCATAATCTGCGTGTGCAGGGGTTGAAGAAAAGATTCACCCCTATAAGTGAAGTGTTTGGTTTATTCACTTTACTCTGTATCCTGTACATTTAGGCAGAGACTACAGTTACTTCACTCTGTACAGCCTACATTTAGACAGACTATAGTATTTACTTTTAATAATAATAATAATATATAGCGTACATTAAGACAGATTTGAGTATTACTTTTACCCTGTATGACGTACATTTAGGCAGAGACAACAGTATTCACATCACTCACAGGAAAAACAACGGTGCTGTCAAACGTCCACGCGATGCCCCATCTCATAGTTTTCCCTTGGCAGAACTCCGTGGTGGAAAACTTGGACACCTGAAACATTTTATTCATCATCATTCGATATTCAAAACATTTGTTTGAAGATTATAGGCTAATCACAGAATGACCTAAAAATATCTCTCCTCTCTACACTCATTATAGTTTAGAGAACAATTTGACAGTCTTCAATAGGGACTAACCATTCGTGTAACTGTCTTCAAAAACAAAGGCACACACACAAAATAAAGTTATATTTTTATAAACCTCATACTCCCACCATATCATATATAACTTTCCTACTTCTAGTACATGTCTTAAAACTATTCCCGCACTATATGACTATATGGCACCACAGATGGATTTAATTTTGGTGCTCACGATAATTTAGTGTTTGAAAAAAAAAAAACTATCCATATTACAACTATGGGTACTAAAAGAAAATGCCATAAAAGCAAATAATAATAATAATAATAATAATAAAAATTATAATAAAATGATAATAATAATTATTATTATTATAATTATATTAATAATAAAGAGCTTTTTAAACCTAGCAATTCAGACATGAGCTGTCTAGCCATGAATGTATAAGCCACACAGAGGACATTTTAAAATCAAAATGTGGACAGGTTACCAGAACAAAGCAAGGTTGATGAATCATTACCTGATGGTGTCTCAGCTCCTCTTTCAACTTCGCCAAGCTCGTCTTTTTCCCCACCATACTGGTATACACCCTGCAAGCACAGAGAGGAATCAGACAGACAGATCAAGAAACTACTTGAACAGTTTTTAAAGTTTTAGAAGAGGTTTTTACGGCGATCGCAACTGCATTAGGTCATATGAGCGCCAAGGGGTGGATGTCAACAGAGAAGTCCTTTCAGGGAATCAGGCTTACTCTGCTCACCTCTCTAGCCTCAACTGCACAAAGTCTGCGTCCACTATCAAGGCACCCCGGAAATAGCAGGTCACAAGAGTGTGACAAACATACAAAAGAAGTAGAGGAAAACGACGATCGTACGGATTTGGAAAGAAAAAGCAGCAGTTCCCTGTTGCAGTTCAGGCACAGTTATGAGCATGACATTGATGAATCAGCCCATTTACAATTACAATTCTCCTGTGCATAAGAACAAGTTATTATCCCCCCTTTGGGAATGGCTTAAAGACACTTCAGTCAGTAGCACCGCCCTGGTGGGGTCTTGAACAGTTTGCTCCACCCACATCAACAGCTTGTATTCTCTCTCCTCTATGTAGCGCCAGGGTCTCACACTTTACTCACGTGATATTTCAGATTATATTGAAAGTCGGGATATGAAACTAAATAATATCCCAGATCATGTAAAGGAGGAAAAAACAGATTTGGTCCGAGACGACATAACAACAATGTTACAAGGTGATTGCCATGCCACTGTACTGGGGAGCCTTATCTTTCTATTTCACGAGATGAATCTACTTTGAGCGCATTGTGTCAATGCAGTTGGTATTATATTAGACTACGGTGCACATGACCCTCGCTCGAATCCTTATACTTATAAAGGTGTCTTTGACCTCAGGTTGTGTGAAAGAGATTTCATGGCTATGTAGCACCACAGCTGGGTGTTAAAAATCAGAGGCTCCTATCTCTATAATACTTACAGCTACTAAATATTTACTGTCTACAACAAATCAAATACACCATTTCTAATTTCATGTACTATTCTCTATTCTATTTCTATCACATTTAATACTCTGTAATACACACAAACCATATGTTCAAAACAAAGGGACAAGGACATTAACCTGATAGCTGATATGAATTCTATTTATAAAAGCTTATAATGCTTGTGCCATTGCGAGTTATGTCAGCAGTCAGAATCAGATTCACTTTGTGGAAATAGATTTATGTTATAGTTATACAATCTAAATTTGAAGAGAAAACAGGTTCCTTTTGTACATGAGATTACTGTGGACTCGAATTGGACGGAATTTGAGTTCACACTACATCAAAATTGACAGATGTATTCAATGACAATGACAATCTTTATTCATCTCATGGGGAGAAATTTGTCTTGATCATTTACAATGGCAGGGTATGTTACAAAGGTTAGGAGCACTCATACACACACATGACAAACATAAGAAAAGAGGGATCAGCAACAAAATTGTTTAAATTATTAATGTATTTTTTTATTAATTACACCAGGGGCCTAAAACTTCTTCACTAAATGACTGCTCGATATCAGGTGATTCTATCACATCACATCCTTTTCACTCTTGGAAGACGTAAATGAAGAAACCTTCAGGAGACTAGTGTCTGCACGGCTTTAGATGGAACCTTCAATGGCTCTCGACTCACAAGTTTGATCATTCGTGGATAGTTGGCAACATAAGGAGGAACTAAAACATTTAAAAACTATTCACAAAGTTACAAGTATTGAGAAAGTGGGGGAATTCCACACCTGGGGTAATTCCACACCCCCCCCCCTTACAGCCCTTAGAACCAACAGAAATCTTTTTGACATTCAGCTTTAACCATTTGCTTCTGTCTGCCATGTTTTATTTATCTATTCAGTTATAATTTCTTGTATATGTTTGTCTGTTTATTTTCATTTTGGCATGTGTGCTCATGTGGGTGTGGAATTGCCCTGCAATATCAGATTTTTGATTTTTTTTAAGTTAAAAAATGGACCCTAAGTAAAACTGTTGAGGAGGATGTGGTCTCTTTCTATATAAAGTAACTTCTATAACTCTTGTCTCACAATCCAATTGAAAAGTATGGTGTAGAATCCCCCCATTTTACTATACTAGTGGCTAGAAAACAAAGTCACAAGTACTAGTGTCTAGAAAACAAAGTCACAAGTACTAGTGTCTAGAAAACGTACCTGACTCTGTCTCTCAGCACGGCCGACTCCTCAATCATCTGTCGTACAAAGCCCACCTCTCCACCGGCCGCTATACACTCCTGTGGACTTGCCGTGGACACCGAGTTCGACTCGGGCCGGTCAGGTGACCGCGTGGAGGTCAAGGCCTGTGCCTCCATGTGGTCGGCGAAAAACGGCGGGTTGCACATGCAGAAGTCAAACTGGCCGGGGTGAAGGGCGTGGGAGTCTTCCAGGGGAGTCAGAAGGGCATCCTCCGAGGTCACTTGTTTCACTGAGGGAGATGAAGGGGGAAACATTTATATATATATATATATATAACATCAGTGGTTCTAGTGGACACTTGTTTCACTGAGGGGGAGATGAGGGGAAAACATATATATATATAATATCAGTGATTCTAGTAGACACATGTTTCACTGAGGGAGAGGAGGGGAAAACATTTATATATATATATAATTATATATAAAATCAGTGGTTCCAGAAAACACATGTTTCACTGGGGGAGATGAGGGGGAATATATAACCTCAGTGATTAAACTGAAGAATACATCTGAATAAATAAATCGCACTCAACTTTAAACAAGTTGCATCAACCAGTACACTCTTTTTTTTAAAACTCAATCCAAGTTTCATCCTTCTTTCCATTTCTTAGCATTTCATATAATTGTCATAATAATATAATCAATATATTGTGTACCATCAACTATGAGGGAAGGATCCAGGACTACTTAAAAGTCACAGGGGGAAACTTGGGACAATTTCTGGAGCACAACTAACACTGGGAGACTCTACAACCCATTCCTCATTACAAGATTTAACAACAGTTGTTTTGTTTGTTTTAGTAAGGTTCTACGGCGCTCGCAACTGCATAAGACCAAGGGGTAGAATATGTCAATAGACAAGTCCAAAAGGGGAATCAGGCTTACTCTCCTCACCTCTCTAGCCTCAACAACACAAAGTCTGCTTCGACTATCAAGACAGCCCAGAAATAGCAGTTCACAAGAGAGTGACAAACATCATACAAAAGAAGTAGAGGAAAAATGACGATAGTAAGGATGAGGAAAGAAAAAGCAGCAGTTCCCCCTATGTTCTTCCGGCATAGTATGAGCATGACATTGATAAATCAGCCCATTGAAAATTCTACTGTGCATAAGAACATGTTAATAAATTATATCCTCCCTTTGGGAATGGCCTAAAGACAACTTCAGTCAGTAACACGGCCCTGGTGGGGGAACCATAGTTCGAAAATAACGCTCATGTAAAGGACTTTCAGGTTGTCGGTCTAAGAAATACAAAGCAATTTCTGAAGAACAATGTAAGAGAACTGACAAGACTCACCACATATGAAGTCATTCATTTCATTGGTTCCGACATTCTTCTTGGCATGAAAGAAATTCTCCGGGTCCGCTTCAGTGGCCAGGAAGTGCCACTGATTCATCCTGGCTGCCAGCAAAGGATACACACAGCTTGCCCCTGTGCCTGAGTAGAAAGAGAAATTTCTTCAATGATTCAAACTACATATATAATAATAGCTTCTTGTTCACATTCATTTATCTGCGTTAAGAATATTCTGGCTCTTTTGTTAATTTATCGGTGCCCACATACTACTTTACATGGCACTTCGGCAGGCCAGCGACCAAACGAAAAAATTTTTTTTTTTAATCTTGATCTAGTAATATTTAAAAGTTTCTTTATTTGGGCCCTCTATATTAAACATCAAGAGGAAATGCTGATGATGATTAATTCGGCGGGTATCGGTCTCACTACAGACCAATCCTCTTTCAACGATAATATCTCGTCTGTCTCTAAAGATATCGGAAAAATTTTTTCTTCAGTGAATCCCTCAGTTTCTCCTGCATGTATTGATGTGTCTACATGAGGCTGACGCAAACACAATGCTAGCGTGTTCCCGAGGTTACCCCTGGCTCGGGCGAGTCTACCGCGTTTTCCACTGCCGCCGCAGGGGCTTGGCGTGTGATATTAAGTAGTATCAATATCTAAAGAAGAGTCCTATATTTCTTTTAGTTTAGTTTTAGTAGAGGTTTTACGGTGCCCGCAACTGCATAAGGCAAGGTCATATGAGCGGCAGTAATTTCTTTAGTAAAATAATGATACATTTTGTTGTAACGGTACTAAGACTGGTTTTCTTTAGTAAAATAATGATACATTTTGTTGTAACGGTACTAAGACTGGTGTCTGGGCTACAATTTGGACATCATGAAAGTCGCATAAACTTCGAAATTGTGCTTCAAAACTGAATCAAAACTTCCGATTTTCTGTGGAAACGCTTGACCCGGACGTCAACGTTATTAAATTATTTATTATAACCTTTATTTTAACATGGAGGTGGACTGGAATAAAATCTAAGCTAGAATTATAGGTGGGTTCTTGAGCAGTCAGGGCGGCTTGCCGTAACAAAGTCACCTTAGCTGAGCCGCTGCCCACGGCTCGGTGTAGCGAATGAATTAAACCTGAAGCCTGAAGCCACGCAAGTCGTAGGCTAAACCTTCTGACGGCATATGGGTTTTCTCAAGACGGAAGGACTACCGTAACAATATGAACCCCCATCCAACAAACAAAATAAAGTTATAAGAGACCTAGAATCTAGGGGTGCTTTTTCGGTAGTTCCCACCCCCCCCCCCCCCCCTTCTTATTTGAGCCTGACCTAGATATACATCTTGATCTATACGTTTAATTCGCGGCGAGCTGAGATATCAAACTTAACAACTGCAAAACATTAAATTGTGGTAAAATTCAGGGGGGTATGCCCCCTGACTGAAACCCCCCAACTTATTTTCATTATTAAGTCAGGGGGGCAAGCTCCCCTGAAACCCCCATATTCTTGGGGCCAAAACCCGTGAATAACAATTGCGGGGTGGGAACTACAGAAGAAGCGCTGAATCTAGACCTACCCATATTCCTACCCCAAACTCAAATCCTAACCTACTATTTCATGTTCATAATAGCAGTGGCTCATTGCAGAGAAGGAATTCCATTCCTCCATTCACTTTATCAATTGATTTAACAATAGTAAATTACAACACCACAATGACAATGGACATGATTTAGAAATGGCGACGCCTTTTTTTTTTCTTCCTGGGCATTTTTGCCTTTTAATTTCGGAAGTCTTACCGATGTCAATACCCCACTTTCCGGGATCCTTTCCGACTATGTCTTCCAACCAGAGGATGTAATTCAATCTCAGAGGGAGTGTCGGTACTAAGCGATCTGATGGAAGCTCAACCGAAAGATCAAAGTCTTCCTTCAACAAGCAAGTGGTCAGCGCACGCAGGGCGTCAGCGTCCTTGAAGTCAAGGAATACTTTCCCCGAATCATCCTGCGTGATGTGAGCTCTGAACTCCGGATATTTCAACGCTAACTTCAAGAAACTTGGCTTTTCCTTCTTATAACGGTTCCGCGGGTGCATGAATTTATTCAGAGCCATTATGGACAAAGACAGCAAAAGGAGGACTGGTATATGAATTCGACCTAGGGTCCAGCAAAACAGGCAAACCCAGCTTTTCAGGAGTTAAAATAATAATATAAAACATTCAAATTTGACAGCATTCGCAGTTCGCAGTAGTTTCGTTTTACTTTCGTTTCCTTAATCGTTTTTTATGTTACAAGGTTTTTATTAAAAATTCAAATCAATTGGAAGTAATTGAAAAACGAAAATGATCACTTATATATATAGAGGGAGGGGGGGGCGTTCGTGGATTTTTTAAAATAAAATTATTTTCAAAACAGACTTAGATCTAGTATCAATAACAGAAAATGAAATTTAATTTAATCTGTCTTTGATGCTGCCAAGGTTGACATTTCCGAGCAATTCAGTTCCAAAGTGTATGCAGTGCCAGTGCTTAGTGCACAAAATGATCATACTGAAATTCCTTTCGTAAAGGACAAAAACTATAACTATTACATGTTACAAAACAAATCAAATCAAGAGCGAAAGTGAACTTTGACCCACCCATTGACTGAGCCTGACTGACTGTACCGGTAGCGCTAGCACTAACGGACCGTGTCACTGCTCGTAACCTCGTTCAGAGCAGCAACGTTGATTAGGGCTGAGAGCTTTGGTGCCATCTAGATCTAGAAAATCTAGTTTTGAAAGATAACAAATATCATGGCAAAACCTCTGGGGTTGTTGCGGCACTGTGTGCGAAGTCTTCAGAAGGTACAGCTGGTCTCAGGTAAGTGCCCCTGACACTGACCGAGTGTAAGTCGGTGATGATTACCTAATAGACCTACATTTTATACTATACACTTTTATAGCAGAGGGTACATCAGTTGTACTGGTCACAGGTCGTAGGGTGGTAGGAGAAGGAGGGCCCCATGTATGGAGTGGAAACAGCAGTGAAGTGAGGGGTAGAAAAAAAGATCGAAGTGACTATTTCTCCGAACGTTCAGGAAAATAAACCTGAACTCTATTTCTCCGAACGGAGGGACTTCTGTAACGAGCGGCCGCCACAACAAACACAATGAAGAAGAGACCTACCTCTACCCCTATCTGTAACCCTTTATACTAACCCTACCCCTATCCGTACCCTAACCCCACCCCTACCCCTAACCCTAATACCCCTACCCCTACACCTAACCCTAATACCCCTACCCCTACACCTAACCCTAATACCCCTACCCCTACACCTAACCCTAATACCCCTACCCCTACACCTAACCCTATCCGTAGCCTTCTATTCTACTCTCTCTTAGTGGTCGCTCGTTACGAAAGTCCTCCCTCTCCGAACGGTTTCCGTTCTCGAGATTTTTTCATTATTTGCGAGATTTAGGCGTCATCTTTCATTCTGCCATTCTGCGAGGATTGGGAAGAGAAGCTTTTTTTGTATCAAATTCAGTTTCTAGAGCTAGAGATTTTTAAATGTCTGAATATTCAGATACTTCAGTTGTGGTTGGGGCAACGTTCCTGGACTATACTTCATTTGAAAATACATTCAAAAGGTACTGCGAGAAAAGAAGACTGATCGACCATGGCAGTATTTTGCATTTAGTCATCCAGCAAAAACTAAAATCCTTCTCATGTAAAAAAAGTGCCTACTATTATTGATTTTAAGACCACTAAGGGATCTTAGATGTGTGCAACTTGCACACAGGACCTCAGAGATTTTTTTCTCTTATATGAGCCAGCTAGGTGGTCAATCTTACCTACCGTAAGATCAGGAGTGCGGCTGAAAGACTTAAAAGAAGGAGCTAGGGTAGAACTGAAAAGAGTCACGAGTAAAAAGAAGAAGAGGAGGTTACTAATGGAGAGCAAAAGTGTTGACGTCAGAATGATTATTGTTTGCACACACAGCAATGTGGTGGCTCGGGTACTTTAGTGGGGAGAGGGGGGGGTGCTTAATATCTATCATGTATCATGACGTGGCGGAATCAGGCGTTCGTCAATTTTTGGGCATGTGGAGTTATTAGTGTCAACTGAAAGTTGATTTATTTGCCTTGCTTCCAATGAAATAAATATCTAACTATCTTGAATAGAACTCAAGATATAGAATCTGTGTTTGAAGGAAGTGAGGTCGCCTGGTTTCAGTGGTGAAATTAGCGAGAAAATGGCCACCAAAGTTTGGGAACTCTAATAGCTAAAGAGTCTTTGAAAACTGATAAAGGACATAGTTTGTGCCTTTAATCAATGTTTTTCCGAAAAATTCACGTGGAAATGTGTTTCACATGGATGTTAAAGAGATTTAAGCCAAAAAATCAAAATTAAATAAAAATTTCCGAACTAGATCTAATGGAAAAATTCCTGTTTCTCCGATTTTATTATTTTGCCGAGCGCCCGGTTTCACTCCGCTGCCTCACATATAACTCTCTGATTCATCGATCCGTTTTTACCCACAGGTCAGAATCATGGACAGCTGGGCCAACAACACGTACGATGTGCCTCAAGTCTCATTGACCTACCAGAAACTCACGAACTGTTGAGGAAAACGTGTCGAGACTTTGCCGATAATGAGCTCATTCCTGTCGCTGCCCAGTTAGATCGAGATCACATGTTCCCCAAAGAGCAGGTAAAATGAGAATGCTTACCACACACAGTTAACAGCTTTTTAGGCAGATATTTTTATTGGTTATTTCTGGTTTAATGAAATGTGAAAGATTCATGCTTATATTTGGTCGCTTTTAAGCATGAGAGGGCTATCCAGAAAAATGCTGTTTTGAGAAAATCGAAGGTAAAGTTTTTGCTCCTTGTTAAGTTTCTTTAAAAGACAAGGAGAGTTTTCTTTATAACCAAACAAATATACACACCAATGAAACCAACGTTCTCCTACAGGTAGGGCGATACTTACTTTTGGTGTAGGTCAAGATTTCTGGAAACCCCCGAAATCTGGGTTAGCCCGCTTATCCTTAAAAGTGACCTTTTGATTTCTCATACACAACTTGTAATGAGATACAACAAATGGGATATAATGTGTGTTTGTTTTTTTTAGACTGAAACCTGAAGTTGATCTCTAAAAAAAGAATCAACAACCGTTAAATAATTCAGCAAGTTTACCCCTGTGAGATTCCCATTATTTCATTAAGGCTGCACTTCTGAATAAATCGTTTGATTATTTTTATGACTTGAATTCAGAGCCCCTCTTCTCCCCAGAGGTGTATGCAATGATAAGTTCATAGTGAAAGTCATCCTCTTGGTCTTCAGTTGGGAAAGTCACAGGACCATAAAGTACTGCAGTAATTAGTAATGTTTACTTCCTACCTCACCTGGTTACCTCAAGCTGTTACACAATGTGATGATTGTTGTTGTTGTTTTTATATACATCACACTAATGTGCTTAGTAAGCATTAATAATATTAATATTAATATTAATATTAATAAATAACGTTTGTATTTATGCGCTTTACACTATATTATTACCCCTGCAGACCATAGAACAATCAGAAACATTCTCAGCTTCCCGGGAAGCATACAGTGCAAGCAGCCGATTAAGCGCTCAAACACTAACAAACTGACCAGATTTTTCACTGTCTATAGCTAGGTACCCATTCCCCCCTGGGTGAAGTGAGGAAAATTCGTGTAAAGTGCCTTTCCCAAGGACACAATGTTGGGCCCGTGATGAGATTCGAACCCATGACCTTATGGTTGCAAGTTTGAGAGTTTAACCACTAGGCCACCGACGCCAACATTAATTGCATTAATTAGTATCATACATTATATAATCGTTATTCTTACAGAGATGTGGTCAAATTTTATGATACTAATTAATGCAAATTGTAAGAATTAACAGTCTGTCTTTTTGTACATATATGTTAAACAAAATGTTTCCAACAATAATCAATACAGAGTTGTCAGATGCCCAGCTGTTTATGGCCAGCTCTCAGCTTCTAAAAATTCAGGTGCCGCAGATTGTTATGTAGCGCTATTGATTTTATGTTAATGTGGGTTTACACTGTGCCTGAGTGCTGATGCTAATGAGAGGTGGACACTTTGCCTTTCGTTGTCTCCGGCCCATCGGTTGATTATGCAAGTAATGCAAATGGTGGGGAAATATTGTCACTCACACTCTCCAGTGGCGGGGAAATATTGTCACTCACACTCTCCAGTGGTGGGGAAATATTGTCACTCACACTCTCCAGTGGTGGGGAAATATTGTCACTCACACTATCCTGTGATGGGGAAATATTGTCACTCACACTATCCTTTGATGGGGAAATATTGTCACTCACACTATCCTGTGATGGGGAAATATTGTCACTCACACTATCCTTTGATGGGGAAATATTGTCACTCACACTATCCTGTGATGGGGAAATATTGTCGCTCACACTATCCAGTGGTGATGGGGAAATATTGTCGCTCACACTATCCAGTGGTGGGGAAATGCCTGATCTACAACGGGGAACTGCTGCTTTTTCTTTCCTCATCCTTACTATTCTCATTTTCCTCTACTTCTTTTGTATGTTTGTCACACTCTTGTGACCCGCTATTTCCAGGGTGCCTTGATAGTCGAAGCAGACTTTGTGTTGTTGAAGCTAGAGAGGTGAGCAGAGTAAGTCTGATTCCCTGTAAGGACTTCTCTGTTGACATCCACCCCTTGGCGCTCATATGACCTTATGCAGTTGCGAGCGCCGTAAAACCTCTACTAAAACAAACAAAACACCAGCCAGTGTTGGGGAAATATTGTCGCTCACACTATCCTTTGCTATAGAGCAGTAGAGCTTAGTGGACTTGAGTTTAAAATGATGCCAAAAATAAACATTTTCTGTACTCTTCTTCCCCAGCTATATCCCCATCCATTTCAACCACCGAAAGTGGGTGGTTGGCGGGTGCTCTGGTGTGGTTCGCTCCTTCTTTCCTATCAAACATCTATCGTCCTGATCTCCCCTCCTTCTATTTTGTGTTTGTTACTCTCTTGTAACTCCTCTAATCTTCGGCACTTTTATGACCTTATTGTGTTGCAAGTGCCGTAAAACTCTTACTAAAACTAAAACCACTGAAAGGATCTTTATTGTGTCATTTTTCTAGGTACTTTTGTCCTATTTTGTATAAATCATGTCTGTATTTTTTAATTTGGTTGGCGACTATTTTTCTATTCTCCCCAACCTCGACCCCTCACTCCCCACCCCGACGAAAAAGAACCCACAAGCACACACACACACACATACACATAGACACTGATGCATAATCCCCCAGGGCAGTGCCACTGACTGTATTGTCTTTAGGCCATTCCCAAAGGGGGGACATTTCTCGTTCAAGCATAGTAGAATTGTAAATGGGCTGACTCATGTCATGCTCATAACTGTGCCTGATCTACAACTGGGAACTGCTGCTTTTTTTTTCCTGATCCTTACTATCGACTATCGTCATTTTCCTCTACTTCTTTTGTATGTCTGTCACTCTCTTGTGACCTGCTATTTCTGGGGTGCCTTGATAGTCGAAGCAGACCTTGTGCTGTTGAAGCTAGAGAGGTGAACAGTCTAAGTCTGATTCCCTGTAAAAATTCCTCTGTTGACACCCGCCTCTTGGCGCTCATATAACCTTATGCAGTTGCGAGCGCCGTAAAACCCTCTACTATAAAAAAAAACAGACTGATGCATAGATCACACCCTACACATCCAGATACATAATATATACAAATATATATGTGAGGCATCGATTTCATTATTTTGACGAGCGCCTGATTTCTCCACGCTGCCTCACATTTTCCCTGTGTCCAGGTTCGCCAAATGGGAGAGCTGGGCCTCATGTGCATGGACGTGCCAGAGTCTGACGGGGGCACGGGGCTGGACTATCTGGCATACGCCATCGCCATGGAGGAGATCAGCCGAGGCTGCGCGTCCACGGGATGCATCATGAGTGTGAATAACGTGAGTCCTACGCTACACACAATGGCTACACACAATGGCTACACACAATGGCTACACACAATCGCTACACACAATAACTTCATGATTACTGTTTTGTGACTTGTATATGAAATAGTTTAGACAAAAAAATGTATGGTATTATTTTACTCTGGTTTCTACATTGTAGTAACCATCTTTATCGGAAGCCCAAAATATTTTGGTTTGGCCCCTTAAACCTATCGGTGCGTCGTGTTTTACTATCGTATCCATACAACATGGGGAACTCTGTGCTACCACTTTCCAAAGAGGAAGTTTGCTCGTTAATCTGATCCAAACGCTTTGCATAGTAGTCTGTCAAAATGATTTTTTGAGAAATACTGAAAGTTTCAAAGAGATCTTCGTACTAAGAGTATTATAAAATGTGAAAAATACCACTCCGGGGGTACAAAATGACTCCAGGGTGTACGGATAGGGTTAAAGTGAGAGTGGGAGTAAAAGTTCACCAAATGTTTCAGTTTTTGTTAATCAGCTGAAAAATAAAGCACTTGTAAAATATAACAATCTGAGTCTGACACTGGGGCACCAGTGGTTTTTGTAGTGAGTTTTTGTGTACATATATATATATATATATATATATATATATATATATATATCTATCTCTATTATATCTTTGGTGTACAACTCTAAATCTGTATCCACCGTCAAATTAGACCCGAATTCTTTTGAATAACTACTTTAAATATTGTGCATTTTTGATTGACTCTGATTTTTTTAGAAATACTGAAAGTTTCAAAGAGATCTTTGCTCAAGAAGTATTCTAAAATGTGAAGAATACAACCCCTGGGATAGGAAATGACCCCAAGCATACGGAAAAGGTTAATTTGTGTATGTAAAGTTACGTACCATTTGTAGAATTTTTTTGTTTTTATTCAATTTTCAAGTTACTGTATTCATTATTTATATATATATTATTTTTTCCAGAGCTTATACTTGGGCCCGATTCTAAAGAACGCGACGGCAGCGCAGAAGGAGAAGTTCATGACGCCTTTCCTGAGTGGGGAGCAAGTGGGATGTTTTGCTCTCAGTGAACCCGGTACGTTGGTCTCGTTTTTGTTTTAGCAAGGTTTTACGGCGCTCGCAATTGCATAAGGTCATATGAGCGCCAAGGGGTGAATGTCAACAGAGAAGTTTAAATGGGGAGTCAGGCTTACTCTACTCACCTCTCTAGCCTCAACAGCACAAAGTCTGCTTCGACTATCTAGGCACCCCAGAAAAAGCGGGTCACAAGAGAGTGACAAACATACAAAGGAAGTGGAGGGAAAAATGAGGATAGTGAGGATGAGGAAAGAAAATGCAGCAGTTCCCCGTATGTAGTTCCCTGTTGGTCTGAGGGGAACTCAAGGATCACGTCGTGTTGGGAAATAATTGTTGTTTGTGGGAGATGCTGGTTGTTGGACTGAAAGGTGGTGCTCATACACGTATACTTGTACACACATGTACTCACACATACATAGGCCCGCACAGGCAGGCACGCACACGCTCAGGCACACATACGTGCATACATATACGCTCATGTATGCATTCTGCATGCACACTCACACACACTCACTCGCACGCACACATGCGCAGATACCCACACACATACATGTAACATGTGCACTCGTACAAAAGTACACACAGACATACTCACACACAAGCAAACACATTTACATATGCAAAAAAATGCAGGCACACACACACATTAAAGCCCACACTTAGGCCTGCATACCGGCACACTTACAAACATACACTTGTACCCTTTAGCACACACACACACACACACACACACACACACACACACACACACACACATACACACACACACACAAACACCCACTTCTGAACCCCCCCCCACTCTCTCTCCCCCTCCCTCTCCCCCTCCAGGTAACGGCAGTGATGCGGGGGCTGCCTCCACCACAGCACAGCTACAGTCAGGCCAGTGGGTTCTCAACGGGACCAAAGCCTGGATCACCAACGGATACGAAGCCGGAGCAACTGTGGTGGGTGGTTGGACAAACTTGTCTGTTGTACTTCAGCATCATCATCGTCATCATCCTCATTATCATCGTCGTCTTCATCATCATCTTTCTCACTCCGTGGCAGAGTAATAATAATAATAATAATAACAATAACTATTTAATAAAAATAATTTTAATGATGTATGTAATAATAATAATAATAAATGTAATATAATGATAAAGATAATAATTGCATTTATATTGGGCATGTCCATGCTCTACAGCGGTACCAAACAACGGTGTATGTGGATGGTTGGCAGATGCTCTGGTGTGGTTTACTCCTTCTTTCCTATAGAATATTTATCAGTGTGTGTGGTTGTGTTTGTAAGTGTGTTTGTGTGTGTATGTATGTATGTGTGTGTGTGTATGTATGTATGTGTTTGTGTGTATGCATGTGTTGCTTGTGTGAGCTTTTGTGCTCTTGCACTTATTTGTGTGTGTGTGTGTGTGTGTGTGTGTGTACATCTGAGTTTGTGAACTGTTTATCCGTTTCTTTTCTACTTTTTTTGGTACTGGTATGAAATTTACTTGTGGTAGGCAATAGTCTTCATTTAGAACTTGTCATAACTCCTGCACACTTACTTAACTGTTGGTTTTTTGTTTAAATTCCAGGTGTTTGCTACCACAGACAAGAGCAAAAAGCACAAGGTGAGAATTTGACAGCTTGAAATACGTGTACGTTGCTGAGCTGAAATCCAGGAAATCAGCTGATAAAGACTATTGGGGTCAAAATGTTGATCAATCTAATTTTAGCTGTTGTATGTCCTGGGCTACACAAGTCAGAATGATATACATGCTCCATTGATGTATCTGTCTGCCGAGAGAGACTCGTTACTTTTTGTAGTTTATTATCTTTGAATCTGTGACTGGAGAACTTTGTGGGTGGTTGACGGGTGCTCTGGTGTGGTTTGCTCCTTCTTTCCTATCAAACATCTATCGTCCTTATCGCCCCTTCTTCTTTTTTATGTTTGTTACTTCCTTGTAACGCCTCTAATCTTCTGGCGCAAATCCCACTGTGCTCAATTCACAATGGTGTTTTCCCCAGGGTATCAGCGCGTTCTTGGTGCCCAAACCGATGGAGGGGCTGTCACTGGGCAAGAAGGAAGACAAGTTGGGGATCAACGCCACGTCCACCTGTTACCTCATCTTTGAGGACTGCGCCATACCCGAGGACTACCTTCTGGGCCAGCCAGGCATGGGGTTCAAGATTGCTATGGTACTGTGTCCTTCCCACATGCTCACTCACATTCACACTCAAATTCACGTACACATGCTGCATACACACACACATACACACATTTACACACTCACGTACACATGCTGCATACACACACACATTTACACACTCACGTACACATGCTGCATACACACACACATACACACATTTACACACTCACGTACACATGCTGCATACACACACACATTTACACACTCACATACACATGCTGCATACACACACACATACACACATTTACACACTCACGTACACATGCTGCATACACACACACATACACACATTTACACACTCACGTACACATGCTGCATTCACTCACACACACATGCACACACACACACACGTACATATGCTGCATACACACACATATGCACATACATATGCTACATACACACACACACGCACACACTCACAAACTTATCACTTTTAGTTTTTACTTTCTACAGTATCAAATGATTATTTGTCCCTATCTAGGGTACACATGATTCCTTGATTTATGGATGGTGTTGGTTATAGAAGGGCCAATGTTGCAAAAGCTTACTTAACTTCACTACTATGTTGGAGACAGAATGAAGCCTTCTTTGACCTCCGTATATTGTAATATTTCCAAAATAAAAACTATTTTGTTAAAGTTATCAAGATACCTGGTAAGATGACATTTATGCATGATGTAAGACCTTACTGACATTACCTGGTCATACTGGATAAAAGCGGGGTATCCCTGATGTAATGGTTAGCCACTTTGCCACTATGTATAGGAGACATGAGTTCGATTCTCGTGTGGAGAAGTTGGTTGTGTAGTACCTCCATCTGTTGGCGGTAATACAACACATGCGTATGTGAAGAAGGCCACGTGTCAAGTTTGTATCTTGCTTCTGTCTCCCCAGCAAACCTTGGACGCTGGCAGGATCGGGATCGCTGCTCAGGGCTTGGGGATTGCCCAGGTGAGCTACTCTGTTTTTCTCATTGGTTTTTAGGAAATGTTAGAAAGTTGTTGACTTCTGTATGACGTTTTTGTTAGTTCCTTTACTAATCTAGGCAGTCGTTGTATTTAAACTTCACTCTTTTTATCCGCAGGAGCACATTTCTAAAGCTCAAAAACTTGATTCTCAACTCAAATGTTTAGGGTCTTTGCAGTTCTTGTCAATGAGAAATTTATGGTGGTGGGGAGGGGAATCTAGTAGTACACAATAGGCTTTCAAGTGAAAGATTTTAAGAAATTTGGAGAGAAAAAAAGAAAATTGAATATGCTTGAGGTATAATCTACTAAATAAAACGACAAAGATTCCACTGACAAATAAAGAATTAAAAGATAACCTAAGGCCCTCAGGTTGGATGCTATTATAATGAATTTTAAAGTTTTAATAAGAGTTTTACAGCACTTGCGACACAATAAGATCATATGAGTGCCTGAGAATAGATTTGTTACAAGAGAGTAAGATACACAAAAAAAGAAGGAGGAGAGGTAAGGACGATAGATGTTTGATAGGAAAGAAGGAGCAAACCACACCAGAGCACCCGCCATTGAAGAGACTTGATGTTGATTTTTCCAAAACTGCTTTTGTCCCTTGAATTCTTTAAATGTTCCGTACATGTTTTATTTGTTCCTTACTGTTGTCTCTCTATTCAACGTTAGTAAGTTTGGAATTAATGACCGGTACATGATTTCTGATTTTGTTGCTACTGTGGGCTTAAGCCTCTTTGCTTATTCTTCAGTTTTGAGCACTTCTGTGATAGAGGATTGAAAAAAGATGAAGTTTTGTAGTTATTCATGTTGATAGCTTTTGTTTTTCAATTTCTCAACCTTAAAGATGTGTGTCAGTTCTCTTTTGCTGCTCTAGTCTATGGAATACTTTCCTTTCTAATCTACGGAATATTTTCCTCTCTAACCCGTGCTATGTTTTCTTCCACCAGGCGGCCCTGGACTGTGCCGTTGACTACGCTCTCAAGAGGAACTCCTTTGGGGTGCCCATTGCCAAGATGCAGACTGTTCAGGTACACACTACATACGTACAACACACATACAACATACAGAGAAAACATTGTCTTTAGGCCATTCTCAAAGGGCCGATAGTAACATGTTCTTATGCGCAGTAGAATTGTAAATGGGCTGATTCATTTATGTCATGCTCATACTGTGCCGGAACAACATAGGGGGAACTGCTGCCTTTTCTTTCCTCATCCTTACTATCGTCATTTTCCTCTACTTCTTTTGTATGTTTGTCACTCTCTTGTGACCCGCTATTTCGGGGGTGCCTTGATAGTCGAAGCAGACTTTGTGCTGTTGAGGCTAGAGAGGTGAGCAGAGTAAGTCTGATTCCCCGTTTGGACTTCTCTGTTGACATCCACCCCTTGGTGCTCATATGACCTTATGCATTTGCGAGCGCCGTAAAACCTTGCTGAAACAAACAAACTAGAAGACCACAATTCCCCAGATGATATTTTTCCTCATCCTTGATTTTAGCTGCCCCCTTTTTCCTCCACACTTCTTCTTTCTGGTTTTCTCTGACCTTTTGTCTCTCTCGGGAAACACACAGAATACTCTCGTTCTGTTTTCTACTTGATGGTTTTTTTAATTTCTGTGGTTTAAGACTGAGCTTAATCTTTCTCTCTCTTCCCCCCCCCTCCCCCCCCCCCCCCGTGTTTGTCTTGTTCCTCCAGATGAAAATCGCTGACATGGAGACACGTCTGGAGAGTGCGAGACTCCTCACGTGGAAGGCAGCGATGTTGAAGGACGCCGGGCGGAATTTCACAAAGGTGGGTAACTCCAAACATTGTAATGCCTCAGAAGTTATCTCTGTTTGTAGTGGTGAATGGTTCGTCTGATTATGACAGTGGTTACAGACTGGCTGGTGAGGCCACCTCAGTCGACAGCACGGTTCGTCAACCAGACAAGGTCGAGATCCTGAAATGTCTCTCTCGCTAGCTGATTGAGGAGGAAGCAGAGAATCTGGCATCCTTGCAGGAAAGAACAGAAGAACGTTCAACCAGACATACACTGGCACAATCAGTGGAAGGACCATGTTGTAAATTCACGTAAAAATATAAAGGCCCTTTATGACTCCCAGGTTGTCTTAATATTAATAACATTTCCTTATTTGCCTTTCAGGAAGCTGCCATGGCAAAGCTTGCGGCATCAGAGACAGCCACGTTTAACGCACACAATGTGAGTATAGTCCCCTCAGTGGAGGGTGTGTTCTGGACAAAGTATAAATCAAACTTACATACTGTATAACACAGATAGGTGGAATACAGAAAATCACGCATCCATCGAACTGTGCCTGCGCTCTCATGTTTTCTTCTTTATCTTTGTAAGATATCCCTCGAACTACGGATCCCTGGACCTATCGAGGCCGGTCACGATGAAATGGAGCTATCCGTGTTGTACTGTATATCAGTGGCCTCTGATCCTTTCTTCTAGGACAGATAGAAAAAAGTTTTGAAATACAGTCGATGAAATTATTGAAGACAGGCACCCATTGTCACGGAGAAAAAATATTGTCTTAGATTGATGGGTGCCTTGAACTGTGTCTTGTCTTTATATTTTTTAAAAACCACAACGGGGTAATTGATCGTTTGTACAGGGGATTGTCTTGGACAGGATGCCCGTAGAGCAGGTTGAGCAATAAATTGTCCACCTAGCTCAAACTTCTTAGTTAGTTAGTAGTATAGTTTTACGGCGCTCGCAACTGCGTAAGGTCATATGAGCGCCTAGCTCAAACTTCCCTGAAGTGCCTGGTTGCAATCAGTGAATTGTACAAGTCAGCTGCACTAGTAATCAGCTACCGCTTGATGGAAAAAATTACAAATTGGCCCTTAAGTATCCTTGATGTGTAACTTGTGGAATAACAAAGGGCTTGGAAAATACACAGACCTTGTAAAAAGTGACGGAAAATGTACACATCATCCTTTGGGCCAATAGTTTGCAAAATTATTGAGTTAAAAAAAGATGTTATGAGATGTTAAAGTTGCTGTGGAGTGCAAATTTCCATTATATAAGTTCAAATTATTGACACAAATATGATTCTGGATATCTTGTATATTTGATTAAATTTGGCCACCACATGTATTTTTAGTATTTGCAATAGATCTCGCCACTGACAACTATCCTCTTCCTCCTCCTCTTCCTCCTCACAGGCCATTCAGATCCTGGGCGGGATGGGCTTTGTGAAGGACATGCCAGCCGAGCGACACTACAGGGACGCCAGGATCACGGAAATCTACGAGGGGACCAGTGACATCCAGAGGATCGTCATAGCAACCAATATATTCAAAGAGCACGGTTGTTGAGGCTGATTGGTTGAAAACTTTCAGAGTTGTAATTTTTTTTTTTTAGTGTGTTTTTACGAATAATTTGGAAGGAAGTTTTTTTTTTCATGATTGTTTCTGTCGTAATGTTAACGAACTGTGACAAGCTGGCATGATATTTGTTTGTAATTTTTGGTGTGTATATTTCATGGAGTTTTATGTGAACAGTTTTGGGAGGGGCAGGGAGTACACAAGTTGTCAAGGAGTCAAATCAGTACAGTAGGCCTACCTCTGTAGCAATCCTTGCAGAGGAAATTGATTTTCTAAAAAAACAAATAAACAAGCTCAGATAAACTGTACTCAAAGCAGTTTTGATAAATCCAAGATTAAGTTGTTTTTCATCCTATCCACAGGAAAATAGTGTTTGATTGTAATGTAAAGAAGTGTGGTGAGAGAGAGAGAGCGATTGTCGGAAGGAAACAGTGTCAAGGTCAGATGTAGTAGAGGGGTCAAGCAGAGGGCAGGGGGGGAAAGGTTGACACAGTGATAGTGCCCGAGATAGTGTCCGAGATAGTGCCTGAAGAGACTGTGGGTGGGAGTGAATTGGGAAGCAGTGTAGGAAAAAGTTGGGGAAATCTTTTATCTTGTCGGTGTGACACTCAAGGTTGTGAACCGATAGTTGCTCCCTCTGTTGTCTCTCTGTTCAACGTGAGTAAGTTTGAAATTGATTACCTGAGAAAAGACCCGAGAACAACAACCCCAAGGTCAAGTCACATTTAGATGATTTCGAGAAAACGAGCGAAAACCTCATTTTGTGAAATATATGTACCAGTACAACAAGTAAGTTCCGATTTGAGGGCTTCAATAGACTTTTTTGCTGGACTTGACCTTATTCTGTCCCCGTGGTTTTATGCACTCTGCATAATTTAGCAAAATTTGATCATTTTTTGCATAATTTCTGATTATTTTCCGATATCATTCTTTGTAAAAATTAACAGAATCGCATAAATTCACATTTTTTGGGCTCAGTTGCATAATTTCAGAATTTTTCTTGCATAATACGACGAGGACAGCTTATTGTTGCGCTAAGGTTTCGCATCTTTGAACAAGAATAACTGGGTGGAGGAAGAGAATAGCGCTTCTTCAGTGCTATTAATAGATAGCCCTTTGTCGCCGCTTTCGAACGATATGTGGAACTCTTATTTTAGGAAAATGTGACTTAACCTTGTTGTTGTTTTCAGGTCTTCAATTCTTGTCTCAAAATACGATTATCATGACAATTAACTTATACAGTGGTATTATAATATAAATATCATAAAATATTATACTAAGTATTATATATAATATGTGAGGCACCGTGGTGAAATCAGGCGCTTGTCAAGATAATAAAATGAAAGAAACCGGTATTTTTCCACGGGTTTGGGAATTTTTTTCGAATAAAAAAAAATGGATCAACACCTTTAAGGTCAATTTAAAAGCATATTTCTGTGTGGATTTTACTTGAAACGTTGATTAAAGACACAGATGTGTAAATTTTCAACTTTCAAGAACTCTCTAGCTTTGGCAGCTGGCTTACTTTGGCGGCCATTTTCTCGCTAATTTTACTTTTGAAACCAGGCAACCCCTCCCTCTTCAACCCCAAATATCCCTCAATTTCTATTCCAGATAGATGGAGGTTTTTTTCGACAAAAGTAGGAGAAATGAAGAGGCTATAAGATGATACCAATAACTCCACATGTCCAAAAACTGACGAGCTCCTGATTCCACCATGTCATGACTCATATATAACAATCTGCAGAAAGTGCTGGTCAGATTGGTGGGGAAACTGGTGCGTCACTCCGTTAATCAGAGGTGGCCTGGAATGTATTATGCCATTACACGTTTAAGATATATTTACAAATTTTTGTCTGTGATTGAGCGAATCACCAAGGATACTTAATTCAGATCAAGTTACATGTATATTTAAATTTGTGAAAATCCAAAGAAAGGACCGGTTTTGAAAAGTATTCCGTCTCACAGGGTGTTTTTTTTTCAAGATATACACATCGTCTCTTTGATAGCGATGTTCCACTTTCATCCGGTCTTGTATTATTTCTATCGACTGCTTATTGTAAAACTCTGCTAAGCACCATTTTGAACAGTGATATTTTACAGAGTTTTACACCAGTCAGTCGATGTTAATTGTCATTTTGCACAATACTGTACATACATTATCTCGAGTCAGAATATATAATATATGCAATCCGTAAAGCCAAGTGGTTTTTAACTTTTTTTTTTTAACTGCTCATAACAGCTGACTTTTGTGGCTTTATTTGTCTGCAAATGAACAATAAAAAAATCCTTGATGATCTCCGTATAAACTCTGGAGTGTTTTGTGGGTTTCTTTTGGTTTTGTTTACTATGGTAATTGTTTTACTGGGCTCTCAACTGCATAAGGTCATATGAGTGCGCAGGACACATACATTTTCAGTTGGTAGGAAATTTTTGGATTTTGCCCGAGTGGGTGCCAAAGCCTACTCTTATCACTTTTGGACCGCCAAGGGATCTTTAACATGCACAACTTGCACACAGGACCTTCGAGATTTTTTACCCTTATCTGAGAAGGCTAGGTGTAGATCTTACCTACCATAAGTTCGAGAGTGTTGCTGAAAGACAGCAGTAAGAAGGAGCCAAAGAGTAGCAGTACAACTACAAAGGCTGTAGAAAGAGTCGGGAGCCCAGAGGGGTCGTGGGCAGAAATTGGAGACGAAAGCAGACAACAGAACATTGTTAGAGAGCAGGAAAGGATGTGAAAGGAAATTTTTAGAGAAGAAAATTTTACTTCGTTATTCAGATTCGAACCCCAGACCTATTGACTGAGAGGTGAGACAAATCCAGGAGGGGGTTTGTCAATAGCCTAATTTTCTCTGATATCATTTCTTTTTTTTTTTACCGTAAGAGCTTTATGGTACTTGGAATAAGATCATATAAATGCGGAAGATTAGAGGTGTTACAAGAGAGTAACAAACACAAAAATGAAAGAGGAGAGATAAGGATGACAGACATTTGATAGGAAAGAAGGAGCAGACCACACCAGAGCACCCTCCAACCACCCAGGATATCATTTTTGTCAATTCTTTCTCTCTCAAATCATCAACAAAAAAGAAGCCAAAACTAAGGAAAGACAACAACTAAGGTACAACACAGACCAGCAACAACAGTGAAGTTCAGAACCATTTTATTGTGGAATTATGTCAAACATAAATAAAACTTTTCTTGGATAGAACGACATATCATGATTACAGATGAGACGACACAGACAAGTATGATGGGTACGGGGTACAGGGATGTTGAAGTTGAAGCAGTCTCCACCACAGAGCTCTCTTTTTAGTTTAGTTTTAGTAAGAGTTTTACGGCACTTGCAACACAATAAGGTCATATAAGTGCCGAAGATTAGAGAGGTTACAAGAGAGTAACAAACACAAAAAAGAAGTAGGGGAAATAAGGACAACCACCCACCACAGCTCTCTGCTAAAGAACATGGAGAAATGGTAACGGTTTTACGCCCCTATTAACACTATGAGTATTAGCTTACTTAACTGATTCAGCCCGCAGATCATTTTGACTCCGGATGCAAATAATTTGTGACTATTTCATGACCTCATGGGTGGTCTCACAAAAAGTCAACCCTATCTGTAAGCCCAGGGGTCATTTTGTACCCTCGGGATTGTATTCTTCACATTTTAGAATACTTCTAGTACGAAGATCTCTTTGAAACTTTCAGTATTTCTCAAAAAATCATTTTGACAGACTGCTTTTCAAAGCGTACGGATCGGATTAACAAGTAAATTTCCTATATGGAAAGTGGTGGCACAGAGTTCCCCGCATCGTAGGGATACGATAGTAAAACACGACGTACGGATAGGGTTAAGAAAGAAATATTTAAATCTGATAAAACCCTATGTTTGGCACATAGAAATGTTAAGAATAAAGAATACTATTCAATGACACCAGAAAAAAAGGTTGGTAAGTGGTAAGGAAAAAAGAAGAAAAAAAAAACCCAATGCGAAGAAAGGGAGCAATAGATAAAAGCGGCTCTGAGCGTCAAAACACAGGAGACAGTCGGCCGCTGTGAGCGGCGCTGCTGGCTGAATCAGTTAGGAGGTGGGACCTCTGAGTTTAACGTCCATCTCTGAAAGGACAGAGCCAAGAGGAACACAGCGTCAGATCAAACTATCAACTACATGGATTCTATGCACTCTCAAGGGGAATAACTACAATAATTATTTTATCAATAATTCCTTCATCAGATCCCCTGCTCATCATCACCCCAAGCACAACCCAGGTGGAGACTACCACACTACTACACTGAGAACACAACGTGGACGAATAAAGCAGACGGACAGCGAGAAAATGTCACTCCAGATCATGTCATTTAACTAAAATTTGTGCTCACGACAAAACACACATGGTGCCTATAGGACAGTGTCAGCAACAAAGGGTTGTAGCCACTAATGATACAGCATTGTAATGACCAACATTTTGATGACGGCAATTTTTTAAAAATGACTTCCTACAAAAACACAAGGTAGGAAAACAGAAAACAATCATGAAAAAAAAATACCCAGTATCTCTCTCTCTCTCTCTTGCCCTTCCTAACTCCCAGTGGAGCCTAGGCCATCAACACTCAGTATCTCTCTCTCTCTTGCCCTTCCTAACTCCCAGTGGAGCCTAGGCCATCAACACTCAGTATCTCTCTCTCTCTCTCTCTCTCTCG